ACCATACTTTGCTACCATTTTCTTCCCTTTCTTGGGTAAACTCCATGATAAAGCCATCTACACTCAACGCCTCCCCCTTTTCCTCCTCTCACTCTCTTCTAAATCTCTAATCTGGCTTCCAGCATCATTATTTAGCTGAAACTGGTTTCTCCAAAGTTACCAATGATCTTTCACCTGCCAAATCTAAAGGTCCTATCTTTCTTGACCTTTCTGCAACATCTAACACTGTTGATCATCCTTTGCCCTTGGATACTCTCTCCTCTCTCCAGGTTCTCTTCCTGCTCACCCAACTGACCAGGCCTTCTTAGTCTCTTTTGTTGGATCTTCATCCTGTTGCTGTTGTTGTTGTTGTTTTGTTGTTTCAGTCATGTTCCTGATCCCATTTGGGGTTGCTCTTCTTGGCAGAGATACTGGAGTGGTTTGCCATTTCCTTCTCCAGCTCATTTTGCAGATGAGGAAACTGAGGCAAACAGATTAAGTGACTTGCCCAGGGTCACACAGCTAGGAAGTGCCTAAGTCAATTACACCCACTCTTTCACTTAAAAAGAAAAGCAAACTATACCTAACAGAGATTCAGTTTCGTTATCTTCATTATATGCATTATTTGGTTTATGAAACTACTCATTTTATTTAGTGTTTGATAAATTCAGAGTGAAAAACTAAAAACATTAAAAAAAAAAAGAATACTGTGGATGGACAATGATTGGGGCCCAGCCTGGGACAGGTGGAGGATGAGAGGGCGTAGAAGGGTTCTACTGTTGGAGGTAATGAGATCAAAGATTCATTGAAATACCAAAGTATAGGTTAGATTCCAGTTAAATCATGGTGTATGTGTGTGTGTGGGGGGCGGGGATCTAGTTTGTTTTGCAGTTCAAATAAAAAGTATTTGAGTTTGAAACCTAGCAAACTGGTTATAAAATCAAGTTTAGTTGTCTCTGGCATTTTGTCTGACCAACCTTTATGGGAGGAGGCCTTTTTCCTACCCATCCTGCACACGGGTTTGAAGTTGAGACTGTATGTACTCTTATGGCCTTGGATCAAAATAATGTGATTGAGGGGAAAGCAAGCTAAATCCTGGCTCTGTCATTTACTACCCGTGGGGCCTTGAGCAAATTATTTCTCATTTCTGAACCTTGGTTGCCACTTATGTAAAGTCCTTAACAATGCTAAATCCATGGCAGGTAAGGCAGGCACTGCGTTGTTCGTGTTTACACATGTTCCTGAGCTTACTTCTCATAAAGTGGTGAGAGAATTAGAAGAGAGGATGCCACGGGGAGGAAAATGAGTTTGGGAGGGAGCTGAATCAGAAGGTGAACAAGAACAGCGTTAGTTCATTTGGCCATTCATTTAACTCAAGGAGGCAGTATTGGGGAATTAAAAGCATGTGCTTAGGATCAGAATTGGATTTGAATACCAGCTCAACAACTAGATGTGAATGTGGGGTACTGTTTTTAATTGTTCTGAGACTCATTTTTCTCAACTAGAACATGGAGATATTAAGACTTGTATTTTGGCATGTGCCTGATGCAGAGCACTTACATGATGGTTTAGGTTCAATACTGGAACAAAATGAGCCATTTATAGGTCATTCAGATTGTTTGTCCTTTTCAGAGAGGAACAATCACATCATGAAGGTGGTGTCTTGATTGGCTCATAAACTGGATTTTAGTGAGGCAGACCTGTGCAAAGTCATCAGCCTCAGCGTCTCCTCCAGAGTCGTCAGAATCTAGTGGCAAGACTTAGGTCAAGATGACTGGCAATGGCCCAGGATGCAGTGTGAGACCTTGGCCTTTTTCAACTGAAGTCTTTCCCAGGTCTCAGTTAGTCTGAGGCAATGCCCATTTGGTGTTTAAGGGCTAGGTAAGAATAGAGAAAAAAGATGGCGTAGTTTGCCATAACGAAAGAATCATTCTGGGAAGGGAAGGTCCTCAGAGTTCCTGGCCAAAACAGAAAACAATTGTTATTTACACTAACTCTTCAAAAGCCAAACAATGAACAGGGGAGGCTTGGGCTGGAACTTATTACTGGCCATTCAATGAAAGCTTGAGTGATTTGAGTTTCAAAGTAAACTGAAGTAGCTCTATTTGAATCACAATAGGCTTTTTCAAAGCCTGTTTTTCTAGAGTTGTATTTCAAGTAATCATAAAAGAAAAACTGCAAGACAAATTTAATTGTTCCAGCTTTTTGAAAAAAAAATGATAAAATAAACAGAGAAGAAAAAAATCTAGCCCCCAAATCCCAAGATGTCTTCAAAAATAAAGCAATCAAAAATTATATTCCTTTGGACAGAGTAACCGCATGTAAGGAAGGGTATGACCCCACATGGACAGAGGGACCATATGTGATGAAGGAAGAAGAAAAAGAAGGAGGAGGAAGAGGAAGAGGAGAAGAATTGCCCAACTTGAACTGGCAGGTTGGGTCCCCAGAGGGCAGCTACTATTATTCAGAGATGGTTGTTCATCCTTTCTATAAGAGGACCAATGACTTCACAAGGGTGGTGTCTTGACTTGCTCGTGAATGGGATTTAAGTGAGGTGGGGCTGTGCAAAGTCATCAGCCTCATTCTCTCCTCCAGAATCATCAGAGTCCAGTGGCAAGACAAAAGTCAAGATGACTGGTGCTGGCCACTCGGTCATTCAATAGTTAAATAAAAAGTTTACTTAGCAATAGAAGAATATTGACAAAGATAGGCTTGGAGAGTCAGGTAAGTCGAGTCAGCTGAGTGAAGCTCAGTCCCTCCAGTCCCTCTGATGCAATCTAGAGGTTAGGGGTCCTGGAATCCCAAAATCACGACATCCGGGTCCTGCCCGAAAGAATTCGACCCAAGCTTTCTTGCAGCCAAAAACAAAGTTTATTGAAGATTCACTATATTAGCTCTTAAGGAATTTGAGCATCTATGGGCTATTGGCTAGATTCTAAAAATCAGAGCCTCTTAATGGAGACAGGATAGACCTTTTATACAGAAAGACTGTGGGAGGGATCTAGGAGTGGCCAAGTAGTTTGGGGTGACTGGAGGAGGGGCTAAGGAGATCTGGATGGAAGTGGACAGTAAACTGGAGTGGACAGAACTCCTGGGACCTGGACAATGGAGCCTAGCTAGGATTGAGTGTGGGAAATGGCCAGGGGCCATAGGGAGGTAAGACAATGGAGAGGAGATTGGGTGTAGCCACAATGAAAGGCCAGGGGAATGCCAGAGATTTGGCCTGGGGAAAGTCCGGGGTTTTTCCTTTCTGGGGCCCAGATCCCAACACCATCTCCTCCAGCTAGTTCCTCATGGCTTATCTGTACTCCAGCAATTAGGAAATAACATCCACAACGTGAGTCTTTCTTTAGAGACTCGAGCCAACCAACTTTCCAAAAAAGTCTCAGTATGTTTTTGGGAGGAACTCGCTTACCCTGCGTGGGAAAGGTAGGGCTATTGCTCCCACCACTAGTTGCATTATTTATCTTATAGGGTTGCTATGAGGAAAGTGCCTTGTTAACCTTAAAGTGCTATATAAGTGTGAGATAGCATTATTTAAGTGTTTATGGAATATATATTTTATCTTTTTTCATTCTTAATATTGCCATTTCATTGAGTGGGAAATTCTTTCAGGGAGGCAGAAAAGTGACATGGTATAGCCAAAAGACCATTGCATTCATCGTGAGAAGAAACTCCCCTGTTCCGTGAGGTCCTGGATCACTTCCACGGCCCTTGTAGGCTCTGGCTGAAGGACTTGGCAGTGGGGATGGCATAGTCATCCCTTGGCCCTTGTAATGGTAGTAGAAGGAAAGGGCCAGAGGGAGAATGTGGAAAGTGAAGACCTCTCAAACGTAGAAGGTCTATTCCAAGCCTGAAAATGTCTATCTCTTAAAACATGTTTGCTTACCTAGATTCAAGGAAAGAAATACTCATCAGAAAAGGCAGCAAAGGTCCAAGTCCAAGTTCAGGATCACACAGGCAGTGCACATGCTCATTGACATGTAAGAACAGCTATCATTGTTGCTGGAGGGGATAGGAGCCCCCTCTCCTCTTCTCCAGGGTCCGAGGGAGAGACACAAATTGCCAAGACAATGACAGAGAGAGACAGAGACAGCGAGACACACTTCAGAGAAGAGAAACAGAGAGACAGGCAGAGAGAGTCGGAGTGAATCAGTGACAGTGCCAGGTCATACACATTTTGTTACTGCTGTGTGTCATTGGTGACGTCTTGACTTGCAAGTGAATTGGATTTAAGCGAGGGAGGGCTGTGCAAAGTCCCCAGTCTCACTTTCTCCTCTGGAGCCATCTGGGTTCAATGGCCAGATACGGATCAGGATGATTGGAGATGGCCCAGGATACAATGGGAGACCTTAATCTTTTCAAGCTAAAGTCTTTAACAGGTCTCAGTTTGACTGAAGACACATTTTGTGGACAGATGGGAAGAGTGAGAACGGCTGCTATCTTCCCCTTTAACTTTTGTTAGCTCAGTGGCCAGCCCTCTTTTGAGGCATCTACCTCTCCTTGCTGTCAACCTAGGGAGTCTGTGTCACCCCAAAGTTACAACTCCTTCACCATCGAGCCAGAACCCACATAGTCATTTGAAGTGGTCCAGGGTCCCACAGATCAGGGCTTATCTGTTTACCCCTATTTACATCATATTCGCTGTTTGAGAAGATGAGTTATAAGATGGAAAAATTTCAGTGAAGGAATCATGATAGCAACAAAGTAAAAGGAAAAGTGTGAACATGCTGGGTCAGGGTTGATATGTCCTAGAACAACAAAGTTTTCTGAGACAGTGCTAAGGGAGAGGAATTTCCAAGTATAAATTTGGACTACATAAACATTTTGTCTAGACTCATCCCTATCCAAAACTGGGGGAATATTTTAAGGCAAACACTGCTTTCTAATCCTCTGACCAACGTCCACCTTCCCTCAGAACCAATATCTATTTACTTTTAGATAGTTATTACGCTGATTAACTGTGTTTTGTTGCAAAGTGATCTCATTATGTTTTGTTTTTCCTTTTTCCTTTGTTTTAGGTTGGGAGCACTGTTGGGGTGCTTCTCTTGGTGGTAGTTGTGGTAGCTGGCGGAATATTGATTAAAGGATCCTGGAATGTAGACAGTCCCCTTCTGCTGATCTCTTTCACGTTTCCCTTGATGGGACATGTCTTTGGTTTCCTGTTGGCCCTTCTTGCCCACCAGCCTTGGAAGAGGTAACCTCTGCTGAGTGACTCCTCTCTCTCTTAGGTAGCTTATGCGTTCTATTGCTAGTCTGTGGATGGCTACTTGTGCCCTCCGGGTTATGTTAAGATGTGACTCAAGTGGTTGGAGAAACGTGAGGCAAACTAAGTGTCCTGCATAAGGATCAGGGGGACATTCCCATTAATTTTTAACTTAGAGCAAATCAAGTATCAGGCTTGAGGAGCCATTTTGTTCAAATTTCAAACTTGGTCTCCCAACTTGGCCTGAGCCCGGTCTGGCCCATTACAATTGGTGAGAGTCTAGTAGAGTTGAAAAGTAATGAGAGACTTGGGTCAACAGTTAACAAAAGAATGTTTACTTAGAATGTTTACATATATAAGGATTGAAGGGTGCTAAAGACAAAGTGTAACTATAGCAGAATACTTTTCCTCATTTCTGAAATTGTTTATTTTTGAAATTATTCATATGACACACAAATTTTCCACTTTACACTTTTGTTAGAGTACGATAAATTGTTCAAGTTACAAAAAACAGAATATTTAACAAGGCTCTAGCACTTCATTCAACTCCCCTTCAGTAGGCAGGGCAGGGTCAAACCTGAAGGGTCCTATCTCCACTTGGGCTGCCCTTAGGTGACTGGGAAGCCATAATCTTCTGAGTCTGTCAAGTTTCAGGGACAATTTCTTTGTCTTTTAGGGAAGGAACTAGCTTGATCTATGCAGAGGAGTACCCTGCTAACCTATCTCATATCAGTGTCTGATACCTTGTGTATCAGCATGTATGCGACCAACAAATAATGTATCAAAGATGAGATTAGAGCCCAGGTCTCTGTTGACTTCAAGTGTAGCATCACATGGTCATGATCATTTCCTAGATGACAGAGCTATCTATACATAAGGATGATGATGATGATGATGATGGTGATAAATTACAGACTAGGGGTATGAAAGAAATTAAGTTTGTTCTGAAAAAGAAAAACAGACTAAGAAGTAAAATTAAAAATAAAAATGTTTGCACACATTATCCACCATTTATTATAACATTTAAAAATGGATCATAAACATTTACCATGAGTGAAGCACTATACTAAGTGCTGGGGACGTGAAGATAAAAGTGGAATATTTCCTGCCCTCATGGAACTTACATTCTATGGGAAAGACATGCACATCATATATGCACATCAACGAATGAATCAAAAGGCACTTATTAAGCACATTATACACTTATTATGCACAAAGCACTGTGCTAAGGGCTGTGGATATAATTAGAAAAGAAAGATAGTGCCTGTTCTCAAGGAATGCACATTTTAAAAGAGGTTAGACAAGGGTTCAGCTATCCAGGTTTTATATCGGACCCTTTGATGGTGCTGAGACTTTGGGGGTGAGAACTTGCTTTTTTTCCAGCCTTCAGTAGGGTGTGGCTAATGGGGACGTGGGGGCTATCAGACATGTAGAAACAGTTACCAGGTCACATCTTCACAAAGGCTGATTACTTGAAAGAAGGCTGGGTGTAGGGTTGGGGGAGGAGCTGGGCTGGAAGGAGGGCTGGCCATCTCAAGGGCAATGCTATTCTGGGGGCTCTTAGGAGCAGGGTACTGGACTGGCTCCTTCTGGGTCTGAGAGGAAGTGGTAGTTCAATTTGCCTAGGATGTGTTGCCTCTGCTCTCTTCCTCAGTGGCCCTGCCTGCTTCAGTACAAGGTAATTTTGAGGGGGAGTACTAGCATCTGGTAGGATCAGGAAACGTCTCATGTAGGAGATGACATTTGTGCTTAACTCTGAAAGAAGCTAGGGATTGTTAAGAGGTGGAGATGAGGCTGTGGGAATGTATTTAAGGAATGGGGCATCTGGTGCAAAGGACCAGGACAACAGATGGAATGTCATATTTGAGGAGCAGCAAATAGGCCATTTTGGTTGGGAAATAATGCATACTTGTATCTGGAGATCTATTTTGGAGACAGATTGTGGAGGCAAAGAGAGGCATTTATATTTATCCACAGAAAAATATGGTCAGATCTGACTTTAGGATATTTACTTTAGCAGCTGTGTTTGGATTATATGGATTATATGAAGGTGGATTAGAGAAGGGAAAAATTTAGGGAAAGAGTTAGGAGGCTGTTACAATAGTCCAGGGGAAAGTCTGAAGTCGGGTAATAGTTCTGTGAGTAAAAAGAAGGGTAGGAATGTGAGATATGTTGTGGAGGTAGAAATGACAAGACTAATTGGCACTTAGGTGGCGAGGTGCCCATCCTGGAGTTGGTAAGAAGAGTTTTCCTGAGTTCAAGTCCTACCTCAGACACTTACTAGCTGTGTGACCCTTGGCAAGTCACTTAACTCTCTTTGCCTCAGTTTCCTCATCTGTAAATTGAGCTGAAGGACATGGCAAACCACTTCAATATCTCTGCCAAGAAAACCCCAATGGGGTCAGGAAGAGTCAGACACAACTAACAACAACAATTGGATGTGGGGTAAAGAAGAATGAGAAGTCAAGGATAACATGGAAGTTGGAATCTGGGTGGTCGGAAGGTGTCAGACACAGGAATTCAAGCCAGGTTCCTTACTCCAAACATAGCTCAATACCCACGATACTACGCTGTCTTTTATAAACATAAGCTATTCTTGTTGATAGAATTTTACTTAGATCATGTTTTCATTTGCAGGTGCAGAACCATTTCCATAGAAACAGGAACTCAGAATATACAACTGTGTTCCGCCATGCTTCAGTTATCTTTCAATTCGGAACAAATGGCCCAAGTATTTACCTTCCCTTTGAGCTATGGATTGTTCCAGGTCCTGAATGCATTCTTCATCATTTCAGGTTGGTGCACCCTAAGTATAACACCTACACATTTTTAGTATTAGGATTGGGATAGGAAGAGGTAGATGCCTCATTTCACTTTTTTTTAACTTTGACTTTTTGATTGTCGTACTATGTAGGTCTTCTTATATTTCAGTTAGCTTTTAAAATTTTTATTTTTAATTTATGGAATAAACAAAGCATTTTCATAACATATTACAATAAAAAAGACAAATCATACATGAAACTGCTATGTGCAATTTGCTAATCCTTTCAAATATACGACAAAATTGCAGAGTAGGTCAGAGATTTCCAGGATCTCTAGATTTCCTCCACAAACAGACAGAAAATTGCCACGAAATGAATACAGAGCAGCAAAAATAAAGGCAGTCGTCCTCCTAAGACATCTTGAGATGACCTAAAAGACAACTCCAGCGGCTGAGGTTTGGTCTCAGTGAAGTATACAGTCCTCCAGGCCATTCCACCCAATCAACAAACAGTAGTCCCTAAAGGAAGCAGACCAGGCCTCAAGAAATTTCATCTCAGGAACTTTTTTTTTTTAAGCGGACTTTTTAAACCACTTTATTTGCATAAATAAACTTGTTTTACAGAGTGGTCATACTAATTTACAGCTCTACCAACAATGTATTAGTGTAGTTACAATCAATCTTTAGCCCTAGAATCAGAGGACCAAAGATTTAAGTCCAGAAGGGCCACTGGATCAGAGATCCCATGATACTACCATCTTTTTTTATTTTATTTTTTTAAAGTTTAATATGCATTTTTGGTAAATTTTTTATTTTAAACTTAAATACAAAATGAGGAGAGAAAAAAATTGACATTTACACAGCAGACCATAAGAGAGGATTCAGTATAAAACAGTAAGTTTCCATTTCAAGAAAACCTATATAATAAATACTACACATATTTTCAAAACTGCCCAGCTTTTCTTTGCTTCCTTGTTGGTTTTCTTTTGTTTTTTGCTGTGCATTTTTTACTTTATTTTTTTCTCTTCCCTCCCCCTCCACCCTAAAGAAGGCTACAATTAAGCATGTGTGTGTATGTGTATATATATATTTTTATATATGTATGTACATACACATACATAGATATCTATAAATATATCCATATGTAAACATAGACACTCATACACATATATGTAAGACCATTTCCTCCTATCATCTGTTTCTCTGAAGGTGGATTGCATCTTCCTTCTGAAGTCCAAGTCTTTCCATGCTATTCGAAATCATCCAGCTCATCATTTCCTACACCACAGCAATATGCCCACCCAATCTGAGATTGTCTATGCAAGTTCTTCCCCCCAATTTTCTGCATTCCTTCTATTCTTGGCTACATAGGTTTTATTTACACAAGAAAATTTTAATTTAAAATGATAGAAATTATCCTTTTTATACTTCAACAATTCTCTCATCTTATAATATAGTTTAAGGTCTGATACAGCTGAATCTATTTCCTTTACATCTTTTTTCCCTGGTTTCTTTGAAGTTCCTGACCTTTTGTTCTTCAGAATGAACGTTGTTGTTATTTTTTCTAACTCAGTAGAACAATTTTTTAATAATGTAATTGAGATGACATTAAATAAATATATTAGGTAAAATTATCATTTAAAAATTATATTGGCTTTACTTACCCATGAACAGCAAATATTACTTCAATTATTTAGATCTGAATTTATTTGTATAAAAAGTGTTTTATGTTTATGTTTATGTTCATATAGTTCCTGTGTCTGGTTTTGGCAGGTATACGCTCAGGTATTTTACACTGTCTAGGTATTTTAAATGGTCTAAAACAATATTGAACAATATTGCTTATGGGATCATACATGGAGAACTGGAAGGGAACTTAGAAGCCATCAGGTCCAAATCTCTCATTTTATAAAAGACAGAACAGTCCCAGAGTCATTTGCCCAAGCAGCTGTGCTAGAATTGGAACTCTTGAGGCTTTTCTGACTCTAAGTCCGGTGATCCTGCTCCACCATGCTTAGGAAGTTGTTTTAAGGTCCATTGTCTTATATTAGTTCCCTCCCTCCCTTCTCTTCCCTTACTACAGGTTTATTTTTAAAATAAAAAACCCTGAATTGCAATTAGTTGACTGCAATAAAAACAATTTTAGTATTATCCCTTATCAAATGGCTTATAGCTGTCATGTATTTGTCTCCCTTGAAGTGCATCAGACGTATAAGAGACTGTGTAAGAAAAAACCTGAAGAAAAGGACCTCGATTGCAACGAAGTCTCTGAACTGAAGGAAACAGCCACCGGGAGTGAGGCCACTTCCTTTCTGGAAAGGGATGAGGAGGCCAGTGTGAACCTGTAGCTGTTACGACAACAGGCCTTGCTGGAGCATTATGCCAGAGTAATGGCACTCTCTTCATCAAAACTCTGTTAACTGCTGGCCAACAAGTCAATCCATCTGCTTCAGAAGCTATTACTGAACTGTGTGGATAGAGTCTATTTGATTATTTAAATGTCAATTGTCAGTGTGTTGTGATCCCTTTTGGGCAAACATCTTGTTCTCTTTAACTTGGCATTTTAATAGTCTTGTCTAAGCAGTATTCTATTGTGTGGATTCTTTTAAAATAACAATATGCTTGCATGTCATTTTATAACTCTTTTTTTGCAGTCGATGGCATCTAGATTGGGTCACGGATCATCCTTACTGCCTATAGGACTTATTGACCTGCCTGCTTATTTCAAGTCAATCCAAGGGCCACTAGGTGGTCTAGTCTATACAGCACTGTCAGGGGAGGACCTGAGTTCAAATCTGGCCTCAGACACTTACTGTGTGACCCTGGGCAAGTCACTTAACCTCAATTGGTTCCCCCCCCAAAATTCAATCCAACTCGATAAACATTTTTCAAATTCTTACTTTGTTCCAACTTCTTCACTAGGTAAGGTACACATTTTAGATAATATTGGATCCTTGCCATCTTGGAACAAATAGTGTTGTGGGCTAGAAGTTCTTGAAGCTATGCTGATTGGGGTATCTATTCAGCACAGGGTATATAGTAGATGCTTAATAAATGCTTGTTCCATGCTAACTGAATCTTTGACTGCCTGGTCTAGTGTAGTGATTTTGAACAGCTGGAACAAAAGAGAGGTGATTGTGTGATGTAGTAGGTAGAGCAATGGAACAGTCCTGGAGTTAGACGAGGGCTCTGATTCTGTACTTACTAGTTGTGTGATCTTGGATAAGTCACTTAACTCAATGTCTCAGTCTTTTCATCTGCAAAAAGAGGAAAACCACACTTGTCTATAGGTGCCAACTGACTGGGGAATACTTAAGCAAATTATGGTAATGAATTTTTTTGTGTTGTAAAACAAAATAAAACAATAATTATGAAGAATTCAGAGAAGTATGAGAAGAGTTAGGAAGAATGGGGCAGGTTCAGGAAAATAACTTACACTGAAGAATAAAAAAAAATGAATTGAATGCTATGCAGTTATAATGACCAACCTTGGTCCTTGAGAAGAGTTGAGAAAATGCATCTTTGCAGAGGCAAGTTTTGAATACTGTGGGGAATACTGTGAATCTTGTCAGACTTGGTAATGTGATTAATTTTGCTTAAGTGATTTTTTTCTTCTCTTTCACAATATTTTTGTTACAAGGGAAGGCACATTGGGTAGGAGATGGGGAAAGGCTATATTTGGAAATGTAATTTATGTAAAACACAAGGAATCAATAAAAATAAGAAAAATAAATATTAGGCAATTGTTGCAAAGATCAAGTAAGATAATGAATGTATGTAAAGCACGTTAAACCTACATAGCTCCAACTCCATATTGGCTCTGACTCTTCTCTGTTCCATTCCAAATTCTCACCTGTCCCTTTATACCCACTCACTAGCTGTGTGAGCTTGGGTAAGTTGCTCTCTCGAGCCTCAGTTTCCTTGTATGTAGAATGAGAGAGAAAACTTCTAAAATCCCTTCCAACTCTGAATCTCTGATTCTATGTTCCTATGACCTTCCTTTCCTTTCTCTGTGCCTTCTGGATTTTTGGGACTAACTTCTTCCCACTCTGATCATTCCTTAACTGTGTACCCCCCAGTACAGATTTTCAATAGATTATGTATTTGTAATAATTCTCTAATTATTTCCAGCAGATTGTGGACAACCCTGAAGGAACATATCTCTTACCAGACCCATAGATTTGGCATAAAATGGTGTCCAATTCAAAGAAGACCCATTTCCTAACACAATTTGAAGCTATTTGGTCACCAGAACACACTCCCTTTTTGCTTCAGGCTACCTATTAACCTTTAGCTCAGGAGGTCGAATTAGGTCCTAAAATCTTAAAGTCTCCAGTACTGCTAAGATTCCTAGCTTACAGTGAAATAAAGTAAATCAGAGATAAGGCACATTAGCCTATATATATGTCATCTTGGATGGTGTCAAAGGGTGGTGTTATACAATGAATTTGCAAAGGAAATCTTTGGCTTTTGGAGTCCTTTCTCCTAAGGTCTTATATAAGTGAATTATTAGGGAGCCACAAAGTTTCATTTATTTAGAAGGTGTTCTAGGATTTTATTTTATCTTTTTAAAGTATGATTCATTTCAGAAATTCTTTATATTTTTATTTTGTAAATATACCTTAAAACTTATGAGTTTTAATGTAACAATAATGATCTTCAATTTCCTTTTCTTTGGAGCTGAGAAAATGCATCTCCCTCCTGTCTTTTTTTTTTTTTTTAATTTTTAGGCAATTGGGGTTAGCTGACTTGCCCAGGGTCACACAGCTAGTTGGTCTGAGGCCAGATTTGAACTCAGGTCCTCCTGAATCCAGGGCCGGTGCTCTATCCACTGTGCCACCTAGCTGCCCCCTTCCTCCTGTCTTAATAGAAGTGGGAGACTATGGGCATGGAATACTACATATAGATAGGATTGATGTCTGTTGGTCAACATGCATTTATGAAGTGCTTTTTAAGTTCCAGGCACTGGGCTAAATGCTAGAGATACAAAGAAAGGAAAAAAAAAGAAAAGAAACATTGCTTGCTCTCAAGGAGTTTACATTCTACTGGGGGAGAAAACATGTAAGTAACTATAGTACATACACATAAGATATATACAGATATAAACCTGAGGGTCGCTAGGTTAGGCTCATGGCCTAATGAAGCAGATTTAAATGCCCTGGTTCATAGTAATTCTGCCCTTAGAAGTATAGTTATGAAACATGAATGCTCATGATTATGCTTCCAGTTAAGGAGATAAATTTTTCTTAATAGTGTAACAGCAATATTGTTCAAAGAATAACTTTGAGGGAATAAGTCATTTTGACTATTATAAATACCCAAATAACTACAAAGGACAGATGAAGAAAGATGCTATCTGTATCCAGAGAAAGAATTGATAAATATACGTATGTATAGAACAATTTTACACATACACACATACATACACACACACACACACACACACACACACACACACTATTTGTGTCTAATGGTAGCCAGGTCTAAGGGGGTTGGAGGAGGGAAGAAAAAAGGAGAAAAATTATTGAATATAAATTATATATATATATATATACACTTATTATATATAATGGAATAGCAAATTTTACATAATTTTTAAAAAGGTTTCTATTCCCAGAATGTAGATTTTTATCTATTAAAATGGTTCATCATGGAGCACTGAGCATGGCAAAAACTTCCATTCAATAAACATTTTGTTTCAAACAAAACAAAAAAACAAATGAATAAACAGTGGTCAGCTGGTTGGGTTCCCAGTTCTACCCTAGGAAAGAAAGGTTACTTTCTCCCACGTGGATATCAGAGTTCTCTCATGACCTCAAGTCACAAACAAAGGGTCTTGGGAAATGCAAAATACAGGCCCAACCACAGGTGTTTATGAAAACTAAGATTAGATTAGTTAGATGCAGTCTTTAACAGACAAAAAGAACTCACTTAGAAATGAATTCCAAGAGACTTTTAAAGAAGGCTTTTTGTAGGTAGAGGCCAGGTCAAGATGGTAAAGTGAAAATCAGCATTTTTGCCCAGCTCACCCAGCATATCTCCCCCACAACAACCTAGAACAAACCAAATTCTTATTGGGAAAGCCAAAAAAAGAAAAACAAAAAACCCCAAACAAAACAAAACAACAAAAGTCACTGGGAGTCATTTTTCTAGCCAGGAGTAGCCTAGGAAGAGAGAAGAGAGGTCTGCAGACACTGTGGGGTTCGGGGGAGGGGAGAGTGGCCAGGAGCTCTGCACAGTGACAGCAATACACCAAGGCGGGAAACATCAGGGCTGAACCAGGGCTGAGAACAGAAACAGTTGTCAGCTGGCAGCTCTGTTACTCCACTCTGGGTCACAGTTCTTTTTTCCTTTTTTTGAAACTTAAATACACAGTGAGAAAAGAAAAAGAAACACAGAAACTTAAATATTAAAGCTTAAATGCAAAATAAGAAAAGCAAAGCATTGCCATGTGCACAGAGAACGAGAGGATTCAAAATATATAGCAACAAATTTCCATTTCAAGAAAGCCTATAGAATAAATATTATGCATTGTGTTCAGAGCTGTCGAACTTTGCTTCCTTGTAAGTTTTCTTTGTTCTCTGCTGTGCACTTTTTACTTTGTTCTTTTTCCCCTCCTTTCCCCCCACCTCCCCAAAGAAGGCTACAATTAAGTGTGGATATATTTACACACACACACACACACACACATATACATATATGCATACATACACATACATATATATTATATATATACAAAGATATATATTCACATATATACTTACATACACATACTTATCTATAATCATACTCATATATAGACATATACATTCATATGCATCTGTGTAAGACCCGACTGTACTTTTTGTGCTCTTTCTCTGAGGGTGGATAACCTCTTCCTTCCCAAGTCCAAGTCTTCCCATATTTTTTCAGGTTCACAGACTCATCATTTCCTACTACCCACAGCAATATTCCAATCGTATTCTGTCTAGTTATTTTAAAAGTCTAAAACAATAGTAATACGGCTGACATATAGTGTAGTTTCTCTATTTTTCTCATTTGATTAAATCTAATTTAGCTTTAACTTTGTCTGAGATCATGATTACTACCCCTGTTTTTTTCCCCCTAATAAATTCTATTCCTGATCTTTATTTTGTTTGTGTGTATTTATTTCCTATCCCTCCTGACTACTCTACTTTACTTCTACCCACTACCTGGCCATCCTATTACTTAATCTACCTCCCCTCCAAGGGTACCTCCTTATCCTACCATTCTCATTAATCGAAATGCCCTTCTATGCCCACCCCCTTATACTATTCCTTCATCCTCCCCTATACTCTTCCTCCCCACTATGGCCTTAGCCTTTTATTTCTTTCTGAATTTAAAAGACTTTCATACCCTTCTAACTATATGTATGTATTGTTCTCTCTTTAACCCATTCCTGATGAAAGTAGGGTTCCAGAACTACAAGCCCTCCTCCCCCATCTAATTCCTCTGTGACAATTCTTCCTCTCACATTTCATTTGTTTAAGATAATTACTTTTTATCTTTTTCTAAATGATTTACATTTTAGAATCCTATCATACTAAGGTCTACCTCAATCTTTCTTTTGAACTATCCAGTTACTAAAAACAATCTTAGACACACTTTTTTACACCTCCTCATATAAAAATTAAACTGTCTTTATTGAATCCCTTATAATTAGTCTTTGACATGTACTTTATGTTTCTCTTGGATCTTATATGTCAAATACTCTGTTAAGTTCAGGGTTGTTTTATTTTTTTAACAAAATCCCCAAAGTCTGGCAATTTATTAAATGTCCATTTCTTTTCATTCAAGATCATGCTTAACTTTGCTGGGTATGATATTTTTGGCTACAACCTCAGTTCTTTTGCTCTTCGATATATAGTGTTCTAAGATCTGCGGTCTTTTAGTGTCGCTGCTGCTAGGTCTTATGCGATTCTAATTGTGGCATCACCACATTTACATTTTTTTTCTTGTTGCTTGTAATATTTTCTCCTTGAGCTTGGGGTTTCAGAATTTGACTATGATATTCCTGTAGGTTTTCCTTGTAAGATTTCTTTCAGGTGGTGATCGCTGGATTTTTTCCTATTTCTACTTTCCTCTCTTGTTCTAACACTTCAGGACAATTTTCTTTAATTATTTCTTTTACTATTGTATCAAGATTCTTTTTTTGTTGTTGTTGTTGTAGCTTTCAGGTTGGCTGATTATTCTTATGTTTTCTTCTTCTTCTTCTTTTTTTAGGCAATTGGGGTTAAGTGACTTGCCCAGGGTCACACAGCTAGTCAGTGTCAAGTGTTTGGTCTGAGGCTGGATTTGAACTCAGGTCCTCCTGACTTCAGGGCCGGTGCTCTATCCACTGTGCCACCTAGCTGCCCATGTTTTTTTCTTCTTGATCTGTTCTCCAGATCGGTTTTTTTTTTTTTCAGCCAAAGACAAGGTTTATTAGAACATCAGTTATATTGGGCAGACTCTTAAGGAGTCTGAACATTAGTAAGCTATTGGCTAGATTTTAAGAATCTAAGCACCTTACTGGAGACAAGATGGACCTTATATATAGAAGGACTATGGGAGGCATCTAGGAGTGGCCAAGTAGTTTATGAGGTAATAGAACTCCGTGGCCTAGGGAGAATGGAGCCTAGATAAGATTAAGGTTGGGAAGTGGCCTGGGGCCATAGGGAGGTAAGGCAGTGGAGGGCTAGGCTAGGTTAAAGATAACAGAATTGGGAGATTGGGTGTAACCACCATGAAAGGCCAGTTGATGGGATTATAGCCTTAGGTGAATGCCAGAGATTTGGCCATGTGGGAAAGTCCAGGGTTTTTCCTTTTTGGGGTCTAGATACCATCCTCATCATTCCCCCCCCCTCAAACAAATGGGACCAAAATTCTTTTGGGGTAAAGGGTGAAGGTCTTGGCTTCTGAAACTGCTTCCTGCTGGCAAGG